AAATCAGTGCCCTCTTTGAGAGGTTTTTTCTGCCTGTCCATAAGAATATCCTGCACGTAATAGTCACTAGTTAAATGATCTTTTTTGGCATCAGAAATACCTTCCCCCGATATGTTTGCATTTCAAATAAGACACTCTTTATCAGTTGTAGTCTTCCACTGTAAGAAAGAAACTTTGATGTCCAGCACTTGATTCTGTTGGTTATCTTCTCCACTAATGGCATGCATTGCTGGAGTGTCAGCTTTCTTGATGATAGAGGCACCCCCAAGTATTTGAATGGTAGGCCTTCTGTCACGCCCCAAATTCGAGGGACATGACCGGCGCCCGACCGGGTAGCCCCAGTCAAGCGGACCTGGGTGTCTTTCCTAACCCACGTGTTACCCCATGTTTTCCTTACTCAATATTCCAAGAATTAGCCATATAATTAACTTAGAACACCTTTTTGCAAAACATATATACGTACATAATAGTTAATGAAATTACAAATTCTTTGCCCAACACATGAACATAGATTTACACAAGTTCTTAACCCACATCTACTGTCCACGGAGCCTCTAAATGTACAACAAGATAATATAGTATTTGCCGGTAACAAGGCTCCGGCTATACCTTACACAAAAATCAAAATAAAACTCCGGAAACAAGCGGCCTGAGCCACGCAGGGCCCCGAGAGGAAAGGGGCTCACTAAAAAGCTGATGGAGGACGAAGGGGAGCTACGATCGGTGGACTGGAGTACCTGCTATGGACCCACCTACAATCATAACACGAATGTAGCGCCCCCGGCAAAAGGGACGTCAGTACATTTGAATTGTACTGGTATGTATGAGCAAACCTTGCTCCAAGTAAACTCGAACCATAAACAAGTATGTAGCAGTAATAAAAACAACAATCAAATCAACAAAGAGGTAACAACTAAGCCGAACAAGTATACAATCTCTCCTGCTTCCTCTTCCACACTTCCACATCAATAATTTCACAATTTATAAGCAAGTATGTAATCGTAATAGAAATAACAATCAAATACACAAAGAAGGAACAATCAAGCCAAACAAGTTTACAATCTCTCCTATTTTCCCCTTCCACATTTCCACATCAACAATTTCACAATTTGTTCATAATTTCATTTCAATAGTGATTTCGATCACTTTCCACCCTTATTACCTCGGCCACCCTTATTACCTCGGCCACCCTTATCACCACAACCCACACCTTATTACTTCGTGTTGCGGCGCGCAACCCGATCCCACCGAGCAATCACAATTCACAAACAATACCACAGCAATGACAATTTACAAGGAGAACAACAACAAGTTTCAGGAACAACAACAACAAATCCCAATAACAACGACAACACATCTCAAGGAACAACAACACAACTCACACAGGGTTTATATGACTATCAATGCCATTTCCATCTTTTTCAACAGCCCGTGGTATCATTTAAATCACAACAATAATTTTCCACAACTAGCCACAAAGGATGTTACCACAGTTATCTCAATTTCACCAATTTCGATTCCTTTCCATCATTTATTCCACAGTTCTTACCACATAACACATTCGCAATCACAACTTGGTTTATTGCCATTTACTTACACAATCATATCGGACGTCTTAACCAACAACGTTTAAGGCACAATATTTACATGAATTCACAAATGGTTCACACAAGTAAACACATATTACTAGCAAGAGTTTAACTTCACAAATAACCCACGTAGACAACACGTACCAAATATTGAACACCAAGCAAGGTGATTTTACAAAGATCAAAGTTAGCCATACATACCTGGAGTCGAATTCCCTTTTAACTTCTATTTCCAATTCATCAAATAATCTAGCAACGTCAATCTAGTGCACATTTAATACACATAACTTAGAATTGGAGTTCACAAATGCTTCTCAAACTTATCTAGGTTATCAGCCCCTTCTTTGTACAAGTCTTTGCTCCCATCCAACTACTCCTACTAGATTTTAGGTTATAGAAAGGCATGCATGTATGAGTTCAACCATTATTTTCAAGAACCAATGCATGAGACTCCCCCCCCCGTACCCTTAGTTTAACCTGAATTCAATGAAAAGGGTTAGGAATTTTTACCTGCAAAAAAAGGGGGATGAAAGATAAGCTTGAAATTTTCCGGCCCGGATAGTTTTGAAGAATTAAATTTTGGAGAAGATGACTTCTCTCTCAAGACCCTCTCTTCCTCTCTCTTATTTGTGCAGAAGATCGTTAAAGAATGAGGGGGATGGGTGTTTATTTTTCAAAGGGGTCGGGTTTTAAAATTTAGAAAATAGAAGCCCGAGCAAGATCTGCGGTCGCATTCTGCGATCGTAGAACCGAAATGCGGTCCGCAGATTGGACCGCAGAAGTGCCCCCAAAACTCTGAGGAGTCTGTTCGGCGTCTGCGACAGGAATGCGGTCCGCATTCTTGTTATGCGGTCGCATTGTGCACCGCAGAACTGACCTTCACAAATCCTTGAGGAATTTATGCGACGATTATGCGGTCCGCATATTGGTTATGCGATCGCATAATAGACCGCATTTTCAACATTAATTTTGACAACTCTTCTGTTTCACTCTGCGGTAGGAATGTGGTCCGCATACTAGATCTGCGACCGCATTCTGGGCCGCAGAATGGCATTTTCTGGAAAAATTGATTCTTTTGATTTTTACAAGCTTAGATCAATACCAAGGGTCCGAACCGAAGAATTCTACGCATTCCTAACACATATTCGGAGTCGACACCACAAGATACTAGGTTTTGAGCCAAAATTTTTTACGGGGCCTCACACCTTCCATCTTGAACTAGTAATCTGAAGTGATTATATCTTTGAATCCCTGAGACACTCCAGCTACGTAGATAGAAATCTTGTCCAAATTTGCCATGAGCCCAGACACCTTCGAGAAAATGGTTAAACTTATCAAGCAGTTGAATGGAAATCTTGTCAGCTCTGCAGCACATTATCAAATCATCTGCAAAGTAGATATGTGTAAGGTTCAACTTTGCACATCTTGGGTGGAAGTTGAAGTCTGGGATGTCCTTAAGAGTCGTTAGAGTTCTATTCAGATACTCCATTACTAGTACAAACAGATAAGGGGACATTGGGTCCCCTTGTCGCACTCCATTCTTGCTTGAAATCTACTAGTGAGTCCACTATTGATCAGCAGAGAGTAGTTCATAGTAGTCACACATTCCATTATCCACTGAACTATTTTGTTAGGTATCCCATATTCCAGTAGGACCATACGTAGGAATGGCCATTCAACTAAATTATATGCCTTCCTTATGTCCACTTTTATGATGCACCTAGGCGAGACTCCTTTTTTATTATATCCCTTTGCCAGCTCATGGGCAACAATTACATTATCTAATATGCTTCTCCCTTCTTTAACCTTATTTTAAGGATCTTGGCAATGGGCTTGTATAGATTGGTACAACATGCTATTGGTCGAAATTCTTTTACAAAAGAGGGAGTTGAAACCTTTGGCACCAATGTAACAGTAGTACTATTGACATTCTTCAGAAGTTCCCTGTTTCAAAGAATTCCTTTACAGCTTGCATAGTTTCTTCTCCAACGATGTCCCAATATTTCTTGAAGAACTCAGCTGGAAAACCATCTATGTCAGGAGCTTTGTCACTTGGCATATCTTTAAGTCCCTATTTGATTTCTTCCTCTAATATAGCCTTGATAAGTACATGTTGCTGTTCTCTATTCAAGCATGGTCCATTTCTGGCTATTGTAACATCAACGTAAGGTATTTCAGTAGCATTTGTTCCTAGCAAGTTTTTGAAGAATGATATGAACTCTTGTTCTACCTAGGGAGGATCAGTCAGTTTTTGACCAAGTTCACTACAAATGGTAGAGACTTTATTTTTTGCTTGTCTTGCTTTCAGCTGTGCATAGAAAAACTTTGTGTTGGAATCCCCTGCTGATATCCAAATTGCCCTTGATTTCTATCTATACACCTTCTCTTGGATGCCTTCCCATTTCTCTATTTGCATTAATATCTCCTTCTCCTCCAGTATCAACTGATTGTTGAATAGGCCAGCATCAATCTCACTTTGTACCCTCTGCAGCTTCCCCTTGAGATTGTCTATCCTTTTTTCCACTGAGTTGTAAGTTCTATTCATCCCTTTTGCTTTGCTTCCTAGGTCCTGCAGTTTCTTTGAAGCTGAATACATAGTATAACCAGGGATAGATTTATTCCATACCTCTTGAACCATTTGGTTGAATTCTTCATCCTGTAGGAGCACATTCAACAGTCTAAAAGGTTTTGGCAAACAATTCCTAGTAACCTCAGTATACAATATTATGGGGGAATGATCAGATACCCCATAGTTTTCATACACTGCCTCTATACTGCTATATTTCATGAACCAATGAGAGTTTCCCAAGGCCCAATCTGTGTTACTATAAATTCTTTCTGGAGCCTCCCTTTTGTTGCACCATGACCATTGGCAGCCTTTTCTATTCGACTATCCCAACCTAGTGCCAGCGATACATTTTTGGAAATCTTCCACCTCAGTTTGACTAATAGGATTGCCATTGATTCTATCACTGACAGAGATCATGGTGTTAAAATCTCCTAAAATAAGCCAAGCCTCCACCATAGTACTATGTATTTGTCTTAGCTGTGTCCATATTTTATGTCTCTCCGCTATTGTGTTGTACCCATACACAAATGTTAAGCAACAAGTAAAATCTGAGTGTTTATCCCTGACTTCACAGTGCACCAACTGAGCTCCTACAAGTATTATTTTGACTTCTACATGCTGAGTCTTCCACATTATCCATATTCTTCCATTAGGAGCATATGTGTAATTTGCAAACACTTCCCAATCATTTCAAACTTTCCTTCTAACTTTTTTTTCATTCCAGGTTTTTACTTTTGTCTCAAGGCACCATAGAACTGTTACTTTATTTTTAAGCAGAAAAGCCTTGAGTTCTTTCCACTTGTAGGTCTTGTTAAGTCCTCTAATGTTCCATGAACTAATAATCATGGAGATTGAGCAAGGGGTACTCTTCCCTCCTTAGATTCCTGACTTGCATCCTCCTTTTCATGAATTCTCAGTGCACTAAATCTGTTTTGGTGCAGCATAGCTTCAATATTTGCATCAGACAAACCATCCCTTAGTGATGTTCTCACCTTGGGACTTTGCACTTGTTTCCCTTTTGTTTTGGCCAATTGGAATTCAGCATTTTTATTTTGTACAGTCCCTTCAGAACCCTCTTCTTGCCTTGTCACTATTGTTGTAGTTGCTTTGTTAGTACTAGGTTCATCTCTTGCTTCTTGCCCTTGAGTTTCCTTGGCTGCATTTGGCTTTACTACCCACTTAGTGACTTGTTTCGTTCCCTTTTTGTGTTGTTCTCCTTGTTGCTTTTTAGTCCCTGCCTGACCTTTAGGAGCAGGGCTAGTTTTTTGTATCATTTCTGCTTGTGCACTGCATTCACCTGTATGATGCCCTATTTGAAGGCAATCTTGACAGAAAGATGGTTGCCAATCATAGCTCAATGTCTGCTCCCTGTGTTTGCCATCAGCAGTTTCAATCAGCACTATCTCAGGCAATGGTTGAGACACAACCATTTTGATCAACATGCGTGCATAAGATATCCTTGCTTCTTGGACTGTTAGTTTATCTGTGCAAATTGGTATCCCTATAGAGCTTGCTATTCTTCCCAGATTTTCCACCGTCCAATATTGTATAGGCAACCCAGGGAAATTCACCCAAACTGGGATATTGTTCGTAGCTTCCTTGCTCATTTGGAAATCTGGCTCCCATTGCTTCAATATCTATTACATCTTGTGATTTTAACAACATTGACACTGTTATATACGTTTGATATGGTATTTTGAGTGGACCATTTTTGTAAAAAAAATGGTTTGAAAAATATGATTTTATATAGTTATTAATATTACTACTTTCGTGTATGTTTAAATTATACACATAATATGATACAGTTTATGAGATTTTCTTGATTGTAAAGATAGAAATTATTTTCTCACAAGAAAAGAAGGTTATCTTTTTACCATTTTAAGAATTAAGCGTACAAGAATTTGTATTCTTTATATGAGATTAGGAAAATTAGAAGTTGATAAAATATATGTATTTTTTACATGGATGTTTTAATAAAATAGTAGTGTATGTATTGATTTTATATGGTACCACATGACCATGATAGTATGGTGTATAAAGTGTATTAAAAATAAGTAAATTTCTAGATAATTTGAGATAATTCTTAATTATGTGGATAAATTTTATATACATTAAGTACTAAAATATGAGGATAAGCATGTGATTTATATCTTTTGTTTTAATAGGAATTATGTGTCATAAATGTAGGTCTTCCACCACCAATACATGGCTAGGTGGAAGCCAAATATTTAATGACCATTTGTTCTCATTTTTGGAAAGACGACATATATCATTCACATATCATTTGGTGAGAAGAAGGATTTAAGAACGTTCAGCACCTCTTAGTTAAGGACAACATTCTTAATTCAAACCATTTTGTAATCTCTTAAGAGTGTTTCAACCAAGGAACATAGCAACACTATTAAAAAAGAGTTTTAGCCAAGATTTTCTTTGCATAGCAACGTGATTGCTTCGAGCTTTTCATACGGCTTGTTTTGTGTTTTGTCCCAATTAACGTGTGTTAAAGGATTGACAAGAGAATCGTCTCAGGTATGTTAAGGCTAATCCTCCTTTCTTTTGGCATAATCCAAGTTACGATACGTAAACGTAGTGTTATTCCATAAGTGGTTCTACTCTTAGCAGTTAAAGATGTCTATATTATGCATTCATATGTTGTGATATTTTCTAGTGAAGGTCTCATAAATAGTCTTGTTCTCATGTTGTGTTTATAATTGGTTCCTATCAGTAAGATTGTCATTTCATTATACAATCATAAATACCTTTAGGTGTTGGATACCAATGCTTGTCACTAAGATTAAAGGTTGGGTACTTCTTGTGAATTTGAGGATATGACTCAGATCTAATCTCGTTTAGTTTAGTTAACTGGTCCAAAAAGAGCTCTTTTAATTTGGTTTACCCTGTTAGGCATGATTTAGTTTCCCAATTGCTATTCAAATTCAAGTGTTTTTTGGCTGAAGTTCAAGGTTGGTCTTTTCCATGCACGATATTCGTGGGCAAATCTATCTCTAGAGCAAACTAGGTCATTTTATGACGTCATTTACATCAGTCGGTCCAATTTTATTCAAGCATTTCTAGGTATGTTCTTAATTCTCTACGAAGGTCTTTGTTAAAAATATTAAAGTTTATAATATAGTAATACATGCATCTTCCTGCATATTCATTTACCACTGGGCTACCGCCGGTTGGGCAGTTACCACCGGTTGGGCAGTTACCACCGGCTGGGCAGTTATGTATCATTATTTACCGCCGCTTGGGCAGACATGCATATTCATTTACCACCGAGCTATGGCCGGTCGGGCAGTCATGCATTTACCACCGAGCTACGGCCGGTTGGGCAGTTACACATTTACCACCAAGCTACGGCCGGTCGGGTAGTCATGCATTTACCACCGTGCGAAGGCCGGTCAGACAGTTACCACTGATCAGTTGGGCAGTCATGCATCATACATTTGGATAATAGGCTCAAAGCTAAGCATTGTATATATGTAAGTATATTAAGTATGCATATACGGTGGCACTTCAGAGATTCAGGTTGATTCTTATATGTCTTTAATTAATGTTGACTTATTGTTATGTTTCAGTTCTTCCTTACATACTCAGTACATTATTCGTACTAACATCCTTTCGTTGGGGATGCTGCATTCATGCCTGCAGGTATAGATAATCCGTTTGACGAGCCCTCATGGTAGACGAGGTTAGCGTTCAGCAAAGGATCGGTAAGACTCCACCTCTTTCGGAGTGCAGCCAAGTCTATAATTCATCGTGTCAGAGTTTTGGCTACAGACTTATGGGTAGGCCGGTACCCCGTCCCATTTGATGTCAATTAATCTAGAGGCTTTGTAGACAGATGTTCATTTTGTACAGTATGTTAGAGGCCTTGACGGCCCATATGTATTCATGTTTTAAGAAAATGGTTCAGTGATACAGTGTTGTCCACTTATAGTTATACATTACGAGTTGTGGCCATGTTGGCCCATGATAGTTTTAAAGAAGAAGAAAAAGTTGCAGAGTGGTTCGCTCGGGCCAGTGCGGCACTGGGTGCCAGCCACGCCTCCCCAGGTTGGGGCGTGACAATATCATTGGCCTTTTGTTTAAAGTGTATGTTCCATTTCGAAGCACTAGATCTCTATCTTCATCAGAACTGAATTTGAAGATAAAGTAACCTTCGTCATGGAGTAATACCTGTAGTGTCGATACAAATTGCCACACACCATACACAAATTTCAGTATCTCTTTAAATAGAGGGGGTCCACCTATTACACAGCCAATTAGGCTTGTCCCCCATTTCCTATTTTGCTCCTCAACCTCTGTGTAGTTAGTCTAACTATCTTTATTCTGTCCTTAATGATAGGAGGATAATAGTTCAATTCCAATCGTTGCTGTAGTGACCTATTGCCTTGGACAACGTTAGCTAGGGTTGGTTGTGGAGCCCCTAATCCCGTCGAAAATGTTAATTTTCTCGCCATTGTAGCCATATCTGTCTCATTTTGTACTGGATCTGTAGGGGTTTTTACCACCGGAGCTTGCAATTCCACCGGTGCCGTTGATTCCTTCCTCACCTGGCCGTGTAAGATACACTACCCATTCCTTTCATCCAATGGAATAATTGGACAGACCCTAGATTTTGGGGGATTCCCGTTTCCGGGGTAACAAGCCTGGTATCATCTTCATCTGCCTTATCTTCTTCATCCGTATTCTTTGCCGTAGCAATGGAGTTCCTCCTTCTTTTAATGAGCCATCTCTACCAGCGTATGTTAGCGATCCTTGCTTAACATTATGCGCCCAGTGATGCTAAGAAGGAGGAGACCAACGAGAAAGAGAAGAGCTTGAACTCTCTTTTTCTCAATCATTGAACCTTACTTTGCTTTCATACTTGCATTTTTCTTCTTCATACTTCATTTTCTTCAAGTTTTTTTTATTTATATTTTTTATTTATTCTTTTCAAGTTAATTTTTGTTTCTAGAATTTCTTTCAGTATCTTTCTAGTCCATCTATATCTATATATATACTACATTAAAAGCACAAGCCTCTATTGAAATATTGTTCACCTTTTTTTACCCATTTAGAATATGTTTTACATAGTATAAAATTATAATTATAAATTAATTATTTTTTTAATATTTAAAAATTTCAATCAACTAAAATATTAGTTATTAAAACATTCCTTATTTGAAATTATGCCAAGTACCTAATATTTAGGAACCTCATTCACATAAGGAATTTATATCGTTAACTTTTCCTAATTAGACTATCCAAGACCGTACGTGTGGTGGATTTTCATTAATATAATAAAACTAATAGGAGTAACCACAACAACAACAACAACAACAACAACAACAACAATAATAATAATAATAATAATAATAATAATAATAATAATAATAACAACAACAATTGAAAATAACACCGATCAATATTGAAAAAACCACTAAATTTAGGTGGTTGATAGATTCAAGTACATTAATGATTCTACAAACACAAAAATTCAAAAAGTGAGATATCAAATTATTTTATTTTACTGTTTGATAATATAACTTAGATAAAATTATAATTATAACTAATTATTTAAAATTGGATGAGCTAATACGAAGAATTTGAATTAACAAAAAATAATTATCTTTTTAATATTAAGAACAAATAATTAAGCCTTTGAATTAACTAATTAACAAGAATAAATTTAATTATTTTCGAATTCATCATATAAGTAAGATTATTTTCAAATTGACAAATCTCATAGGATACATAAATTTGTCATGATAAGAATAGCATTAGCATATGGAAAAATTGGTTATAATAGTATTGAGAGTCAAATTCGTAAAAATAAAAACTAGAAACAATAGGAGAAAACAATAGAATACAAACTATATTCAGAATGATTTGTAATTTTATTATTATTATTATTANATGGACAACTATATATTTTACTTTTAAGAGAGAGACGCCAAAGTTATAGAAAATATACACAAAAAACGTCATCTATAAAGAAGTATTAGACATGATATTGACACACTGAATATTTATATTTATACACTATAAATTAGATATTTTCTAACTTAACTAAATTGATCATCTTTATAGGTTAAGTCGATATCATTTTCGAATTCAAGTATATTTTTAGTATTTAAATGATTGTTGTATTTTTATCATGTTAAATAATTTGTTACTAAATTCAGTTAGTAATTTTTTCACATAAAAGTTCAGACTAAAAATTTACGCGCAACGCACGTACATAGTAACTAGTTATACTAAAAGCACGAATGTCCTTAGCGAAATATCGTTCGCCATTTTACTCTCTTAAACTAGAGCTCACATTGGACAAAATAGTCATTTGATTATTTTTTTAATATTTAGTAATAGTAATCTAATTAATTTCTAATATTTAGGACTTTGATATCAACTAAAAGTTTAATTATTAAGTCTTTTCTTATTTGAATTAGGTGAAAACTACTAATCTAGGTATTTTAAAAAGGAGTAAAATGTTAATTATATAAATATCTTTCTTTTGGTATTTATTACTTTGACATGAAAGATATTAAACAATCGTAATTATTTAATAAAATGGTAAGTCTTTGTACTAAAAATTATTTCTTTCCAATTTTTTGCATCA